TCTAACAAAGCGCGAAGGACAATTTGGATCCTCTCAGAAATCAGAGATTTATTTATTTGGAAATAGGAAAAGTTTATTCTCAATAAATTTTATCAATACTTGCGGCTTTCGGTTCTATTTTATAAAAAAAATTATTTGGAGATAGGAAAAAATATTTGAAATTTTATTATAATTAATAAAACTGAAAAGACTATGCAAGATAGATATTTTAACTTAAAATATCTTAATTATAAAAGAAAAAAAAAATTTAAATACAATTTAATATATACTTTTTTTTTAATATATATACTTTTTTTAAATATATAATATATATATATATATATATATATATATATATATATATATAATATATATATATATATATATATATATATAATATATATATAATATATATATATATATATATATATATATATATATATAATATATATATATATATATATATAGTATATATATATATATATATAAAAGATGAATTTATATATCTGTTAAATTTTCATTGGAAAAAAAAAGTATAAATTACACTTAAGAAAATATATTTAAGTTTTTTTTCAAAAAAAATTCTATATTTTATAAATGCGTGTGAGTTTATATTATTTTATTTTAAATATATTAATTTTTATTTTTCTATTTCACTAAATTATTTATACATTTTTTCTCTCTTTTTTTTTTTCAATATATTTTTTATTTGGACTTCATAAATTTTGAGGGTCTCACAATAAAATATGTTTTGGACTGGACCTACCCTTGGCCTAATTTTCAGTGAGACCCAATTCAAGTGTGCCAACCTGCACCACTGACCGTACTATCCTCGAACACGGCGGACAACTACCATTCTTTCTTCGCAAGAAGACAACCTCACCACGCGGGGACAACACCCAAATAGATTGAGGACGCTCACCCTCGATCATGAAGGCTTCGGGGACACCTCAACTAGCTCGTCGATTAAGACTGGTCCCCTATCAACCTCGCGCTGGCTGAGATCACCTATGACGAGCAGACCGCTCTCCGAACATCTAGGACTGACTACCCAACATCTCTGAATATCGCAGAGTCTTTGTGGTCTCGGAAAGATCGCATCTATATCCTCCTGACCGTGTGGAGGACGTCATCCAGATAGAGAACTAAGTGCGAGTTCCCACTACTTAGGTACCCCTAATTCACTCTCAACTTCTATTCGAGTTAGTTGTGACGGTCCATTCTAATCAGATACGATCAGAATAATAAAACTCTTTATATATATTTTAAAAGGATATATATATATATATATATATATATATATATTATATATATATATATATATATATATATATATATATATATATATATATATATATATATATATATATATATATATTATTGATGATATTGAGAAAAGATAATATCCGTTGCATGGTTTCTTTTACTCGTCACATTGAATAGGTAGACAAAATTTAATAGGAGTTGAAAATGTCAACGGTGTTTCTTTTTAAAATTAAGACGGTACTGAAAAAGTTCTCTCTCTTATTACTTTCTCTTATTTTAATACTATTAAGACTGACATTGAAAAAGTTTTCTCCTCTAAAAGAGGGTAGGTAAAATAAATAGGAGTTGAAATCTCTGTTGTGTGGTAGCTATTCAACCAGGTCTTTAATTTATCAAGATTAAAAGTAAGAGATCCAAATGAAACCAAATTAGCGTAAAAAATATTGCTAGTTGTGATTTTGATGAATTCATTGCATGTGTGATATTTTTGTTTATGATGCACCGATATTTGAATTGAAGATACTACTAGGTCTTCCATGAAATAAGGTTTTCACATTACCAACTCATTATTTAAGATAGTACGTACTTCAAAACGGTGGTTAGCAAAGTTTTCCTCTTATTTCCTTTTCTTAACTTAAAATTATGAAACCTACTACTAGTACTATATATATAGGAATAATATAACATGAAAAATAGAGTTTTTCATGTAGTTAAAGTTTTTATACACAAATTAAAGAATATAATAATATTATCATAAAAAATTATATTTTATAAAATTAATTTTATTAATATATTAAAAATAATATAAAGAATAAAAAATAAATGTCACAATTAAAAAAAAAAAATAATAACATTAAAAAATGAGAACTATAATCATTTTAAAATATATTTTTTTTACTAAAATCACAATTATTTTAAAACGGATGAAACAATAAATATGGCCCATGAGTTAGTTACCTTGCTGGCTTGATAATTCCATTAACATCTTCAAGTATTTTTATCGCACTTTTCTTTGAAGGGACAACCTTCATTGCTCCAAGAATTCCCTGTTTTTAACAACCAAACTCTTTTATAAACTGAGTATAACTTTATTTTTTATTACATTAAATTGCTTAATTGTTTTATAAAATATTATAAATATTAATCATTCCACCCACGCATATCTCAACTAATAAGAGTAAATTTTAACAATATAGATATCGATGTTTTTGGAAATACATCACAATAAAGGAGAAATGATCGAGGAGATGTATGATTTTAATGTATCAAGATCATCACATCAAACACCTTATCGTTAAGTCAGTCAGAATATATCAATATTTCAGGAAATTCAATAAAGAATGATGAGGGTGAGACAAAAACATGTCATTTATGTCACAAAAAGACACCCTTAGATCGAAGGGCACCTCCATAAAAATATATATTTATGCATTGTGTAATTTAAAATATTAATATAAAATATTTTTAATTACTTTTATTATTTATTTAAAAAAATTAATAATAATAACTGTCAAACCATCTAATATAGCGCATCTTCTTTAAAATTATATATATTTATCACACTGCATAACACTATATAGAAGAATAAATTATACATTCTGACGTCTCTTCTCTAGTTTACATGCATGCGTCCACAAAGTAGTTTGATCCTTGTGTATCAAAAATTTTTTATTTAAAAAATGATCATTTTGATTTTCTTTTTAAAAATAGTTATTTGAAAATTTCTTTTTAAAAAAAAACCTAGTACTAACTATTAGTAGTATACATCGTAGGGTAGGGGAAAAATCAAATATTTAGAATGATGGTGCCCCACCTATTGAGTAGGTAGTAGTAGTAACTGACAGAGAGAGTTAATACCTCTATGAGATTCATGGTTGAGTTCACAAGTGTTGGTAATGATCTGCTTCCATTAAATGCATCTCCTTCAACATATAATTTGTTAAATCTCACTTCCACCTTTGGAATCTCTATCTCAACCCTGAAAAACAACATTATCTTAAAAAAACATATTTCAAAAAATTAAATAATTAAATATTACTAAAACAAAAAAATAAGACAAAAAAATATAAAAAACCTATGAATCCTCTCCCTTATCTTAAAGAGAAACTTTTCATTATCTTCTTCAACACTAGTTAATATACCATCCATGAGTTTACTCTTATCATGAATACCAAGCTTTGATATATCAACTTCTTCATAACTAAATCCACCACTCTCAATAGCTTCTTTCACAATGCTTTTCCTTAGTCTTTCAAAAGTAGGAAGCCTTTCTATGGCAGCCCATCTAAGCTCTTCATCATCAACAACTATTTCATTCTTGTTCTTCTCAAACACATCATCACCACCACTTGTTGATGCCCAACTTCTTCTACTTGAAGATCCTATATTCATCCTTAGGCTACTTATTGACCTCAAAACATCTTCTTCTTCTAACCCTTCTTCCATTTTAAACATAAATAAGCATTTAGTTATAATAACTTGTGTTGTGTGTGTATGTGTATGGTATTAATGAAATTCTTAATAGGTAGCCAGGTAGGTATTTGGTAGGAAATTTTTGAAAGGAACATAAATAATTTATGACTTGGACTTGATCATTTGGTGTTGTGTCAAGACCAATTTATTATGCCTTTTATTAAGGAATGTTTCATTTTTATTTTTAAATATGATGACAAAATTTACACTCATATATGACGGTGAATAAACCCATCCAATTTTAGGCACTAGACTAATTGATAAAAAATATTATAGTGCATACAATTGTAAAATTGCAAGTTCAAATATAAAATATCCAATTTTATGTAAACACAAAATGACAATTATCAAAAATGCACTTTTTAAATAAATAACACTACGGAAAAAGGGGTAATTTTAAAGTTGAGTTAGATGAATTTTTCATGGAAGTTTCCTTTTCATGTTCATGGAGTCCAAAAGTAGTGAAACTCAAATCAAAGCAATGTTCCTTTTTCGTTTTTTAGTGATGTTACACTTTCGTCATTTCAATTCACGCCATCAACGCAATTTATGCTATTATCATATAAAAAAATATAAAGAAATACTTGGATGAAAAATACATAAATTCATATTTTTAAGAATATGGTTGGTCTTGATTTTTTAGAAGACTAGAACAAATAATAAAAACAAACACTTAATAAATAATTTTTTTAATTTTAAAAGAACATCATCTATTTAAATGGAATATCACCAACAACTTCAAAAAAAAAAAAACCGCATTCTAATCAATACTATAAAAATACATTCTACCTACTTAAAAATTGTCTTCCTTCTAATATTGTTAATGACAAATTTTTCAATTAAGTTATTATATTATATTTTCTTTAATAAATTATTTTCAATTGTTATTAATGTTAACACATTAAGTCTTTATTATAACATAATAGACCAGATGTAAAACTTTAACAATTTTAATTTTAAAAAAATTCTTTCAAGAGAGGCAACTGCCACTGAAATAATCAATAATCTTAATATATCAATCGATTCAATATTTTCTACAAACAAGATATCTCTTAGGATGTGTTTGAAATTTGTAGTTAGTCTCCATCAATCGTACTATAACAATATATAATAATATCAATATATAATAAATATCAATATATAATAATATAACAATTTTTTGTCCAAAATAATACTATAGAAACAAAAACTTAGAACATATTTTATGCAAGGGTAATTTGAGGAAAACAAAATATAGACACTTTCTCTGCCATTTCTTCACTACTTTGAGAAGAAATAAAAAGTATATGGTCCCACCTTTACTAAATCTCTCTTCTCAACTTTCTTTTGTTAAGCAGGATGACTTATATACTTCTCTCATTTTTTTTTCCTTCTCTTTCTCATACTTCTCTCTTTTAAATCATTTCAACCAAACACACCTTTAGCGACCTAAACTCCATACATAATTCTTTTCCATCAATATTACATTGTTTATTATGTTTCAATGTTTCTTCGAAATGAATATAACAAAGCTCTAAAGTTATATTATCCAATAATTATAAATTTAAAAAAACAAATAATAAATCAAAAACACTTTTATATTGTTGGTATTTCTCAAATCTCTTATTAAGAGATACAATAGTTTGATCAATAATGTAAATAAAATGATTAACTCTAAAAAATTTCTCTTCAGATAACTCAACTGGTGGGGTATTTAAATTCTCATCAAACTGTCATTTTCTTTGAATTACACGCCTTTGAGGAAATAATGGATCAATATTCAATTCAAAGGCAATTTATGTAGCATAATTCAAGACGTTTCTAAAACAACTACAAAAAAACGCTCATCAGCGACATGATATTCACGTCACAGCGTGAAAAATCATGTAACAACTGGTTTTTTTGCGACGTGAATGAACACGTGACAAAAGGGCGTGTGAGAACTAATTTGCGACGTGAATGAACACGCGCCAGAAGGGCGTATGACAACTAATTTGCAACGTGAATTACCCGTCACAAAGTTGTGAAGTGAAATTTATGTCGCAATAATTTGCACATGTATCAAACATGTTTCAATAGGAGAAGGCAAGGCAGAGCAGGTGTCAGTATCACGTCACAACGTTGTGAAGTGAAAACTACGTCACTAAAAAACGTGATATTAAAGCAAAGTTGCAACGTGATTTTAATTAATATTTTACACAAATTAAAATTTAAAAATAAAATAAAAATATAATAAATCCTATGGGTCGGGAAACTCGTCCATGTTAAAATCATCGTTATTCTCCTCATCCATCGGTTGTTGACCACCAACTCCTTCATTTCCACCAACTTGATTACAACTCCTTTGGAATTGCATAAATCACCGCATTTGCTCCTCTATATCAGTTTGCCTTTTCACCATTGCCTCCATTAGCCATTGTTGCTCCGCCATTTGGACCTTCATTGTCGTTTCACATTGTGCTGACTCGCGTCTTTCCTCGGTTAGTGCTAGTTGTCTTACTGTTTCTAGTATTTTAGGTGTCAATTATGATGGACGTGACGATGTTTCCCCATATCTAACTCTTTGAAATAAAGTTTTATCCCCTCTTCTCAAGGTGCCCACCAAATTTCTACCATAAAAAACACCTATTAAGTCCCTTTCCTCCATTGACTTGACTCCAAATATAAAAATCCACATGTGGATTAAGTGGAGCTCTGAACCTCTCTGAATATATTACGGACTATGAACCAAAAATTCCGCGAACAATGTCTGGTAATCCTCCTACACATACAATAACAAGTTAAGTTAAATATAATTTAAACAACTTAGTTATTTACAAGAATTAAATTAAGGACAAAATTTAGGTACAATTCTTTAGGCGTGGTTCTTACTATTTTTCAATGAAAATATGACAAGTATACTTAAATATCATTTAAGGAGTGAAAATAGAAGCAATTTGCATATTTGTAAGTGTAAGAGGAAAATAGTAAGAATCACACCTACAAAATTGTACTTAAGTTTTGTTCTTAAATTAAATTAAATTAAATTAAATAATGAATAAAATATAGCCACATGACTTTCACGCCACAACATCTCAGTTGTCACGTGATTTTCACGCCACAACATCTCAGTTGGTACGTGAAAACCATGCCACAAAGTTGTCATTAAATAAAAAATATATAAGCAACATAAATTAAATAACTTACCAAAGCTTTTTTGGTACGCTCGTCAACAAAACCCCCCCGATTTTTTTGCCCGAGTCTTTATAACCAGATCCGTCATTAGTGGTGATCTCCCCAAACTCTTAGCCTAAATAATAAAATTAACTTTATTTAAAAATATATTATAAATCAAAATATTAAAAATGTGGTAATAATTGTTGGGGGGAGTTACTAGGAGCATCAATACATAGTGTAGGAATATGTACATTTGTGAGAGACACACCACTTATCCACCTAAAAACTTAAGGTGATAGGTGAGTGGGTTCTGCCAATTATATATGTTCAAGTCTCCACATTCTTATCCAAATGTGGGACTATTTCCCCACTTACTCACACTTGCATTATTATTCTAACAATAATTATCATGCGTCGAGCATGCTTAGAAGTAATTATACTTTCAAGTGCATTAAGGCTACCCCATTTTTCAGATGCTCTTATTTTCTTTACTTTTTTAAATTTAGCCTTAAATCCAGGTGAATCCCAATAGACAAGAAGTTTACCAAAAACTTCTTTTTGTATCCAATTGAGACAGATACTTTCATTTTCTCAACGCTTTCTAGCACACCGTAGTATGTTAGAAAGTTGTCTTGTTGTTCTACCATAATAACTTCTTTTAACTTCTCTCGCGTTCATTTGTTTCCACGTACACTTTTTCTGCAATGTTGTATGCCATTCAAATAAATAGTTAGATAATTATAATAAAAAAGTAATTTAAATAACAATAACTTAAAAAATAAATTAATTATACCTTAAATCATCTAAACCAAGCATATTTATCTGGAACATCTTTAAAACTCTTCCAAACTTATTTACACATTTTCTGAATTACATAACGTATACACCGGGCAGCAATTTGACTCAGCGCTAAATTAAACATCAATAATTTGAATTATCATTAAATATAAATTTATATTAAAAATGGAAATGTATACTTAAATAAAAATTTATAAATTAGAAACTTACGAACTTTCAGAGGGCCAAATACAATATCTTTCATCAATGATATGAATATCACTCAGATTATCCTCCCTCTCATCCTCATCATCATCATCGTCATCTCCATCCAACTCATGATCGTCCTCACCCGACTCCTCATGATAATCCTCACGCTCATGTATATGTGTGATAGGTGAGATGCGGGATCCACCAGTCAGCTGGAAGGATGAGGGAACCTATGTGGGATGTGGGGTGCGGGATCCACTAGTCTGTTGGAAGGACGAGGGTGTAACACCTTCTAACCCCACATGTATTTCTCATATAATTTACAAAATGATTTAAATAAAATCACCACTAAAGGGTGTAACACTTTATAGAAAACATCATAATAAACAATCCTGCTGTGTAACACGGGTTACATCAAATAGAAGCAACGTCTTATTATAGTTCAACATATCATTTATATCACCACAACAGATACATCGTCATAAATAAACTTCCTCACAAATCAAAATGTCATAGTACTTTAGTCTCGCCAAAAGTTGGAATTAAAACTAGTTCATAATCCCTAAAAATTATCATAAAATGCGTTAACTAAAGAAACATAGAATTTGCAAAACAAGCATTTCCAACCTGATGTTACATATCAGAGCAAGACACCACTATAATAACATAAAGGCAAAATAATCATTTTGGTCCCTTAACTATACTCTTAGGTTCAGATTGATCCCTTAATTTTTTTTCCGTGTCACTTTGGTCCCTTAACTTTTAAAATGTTTCCTTTTAGTCCATTTTGTCCAATTAGCGACGGATTTCAAAGATTTTCCGTCGCTAATTAGACAAAAAGGACTAAAATG